ATGTAAAATGTTTTCTAAAAATATATAAAAATAAAAATAATATTGATGTAGAGAAAATAATTTACTTACCGAAGCACAAGCAAGAATTCCCCAAAATCCAGCTTTTTGTACAAAATGTTTCATAATTAATTTCATACGAATTAATAATGATATATTTTCTCCATTTTCTAAAGCTTCTAAAGCTTCTAATTCTTTTAAATCTTCTTGGTCAAATTCTTCATTTCTACTATTTTGTCTGCTAGTCCTAGCAGCTCTAGCCATAAAATATGGCGGTAATTCACCAAGTGCAGTACCAGCACCCCAAAGCATAGCTTCTATGCGTACTTTTCTCATGATATTTAATATTCCTGCAGTCCACAATGGATCAATTGTAACTGGACATATTATTTGATCAGGATATGGTGGTTCAGGAAAATTAAGAGCACCACATTCATATGCAGCCATAGTGACAGCTGCTATATGTGGTCCTAGATAAAGTACAAAAGTGTGTAAGCCTGTACCAAGCCCTACACTAGAAAGGACACCTAAACCTATCCAATATAACCACCAAATTATTTTTGTTTCCCATGCTTTTAATATCTGAAAATACACAAATATCTGATGACTTTTAAGGCAAATTTCATATAAAATAAAGATAGAAAACTAATAGAAAAAATTTAAATTAAATAAAGAGAAAACAAATACAAATATTTTTATAATTCTTTTATCATTATTTTACCTGTTGATGAGGACCAGAAATTCTGCTCAATATCAGAAATAATACAATTATTGATAGTATACTCCATACTGTCTTTTTGTAATGTAATGCCTTTTCCCCTAAGCTAAATATATTATTAAAAAGTTCTCGAAAAAAATAATTCAATGTAGTAATTGGATGCTGCCACAATGTTAAATGTTCTGAATCTATATCCAAATTATCCAAGTTTTCTGAAAATGATACAGATGATTTTTTTTCTTCTACATTTTGTTGAGCACCATTGACAGGAATTGCATCCTTCACACGTCGAATGGCAGTGCTATTTTCCAACATGATATTTCCTAATTGATTATCCTGCAAAAAAATAAAATAAATCTAATTATTTGATACATACAGCACTATATATTTTAACATGTAACATATAACACATAAAATAAGCAAAATATTATGGTCAAGTCACATACAAGATTACAACTTTTATTAATTGATTCTTAAAAATGTGATATTAAATTATTGAGATTGTGTTTGTGTTATAGAAAATAATTTTTAAAAATCTTAAATTAACAAGATTAAATTAGTTTTTAATGTATAACGATTTTTAATATAAAATCTATATTTTATTAATAAAATAATTAATAACAAAACTGATTCTGAACATTATTTTCATGCTTCATTTTTCATTATCAACAGATTAGTATTAAGAAGTTTATTTATTTCTTTTATTATGATTTTTATTGTTAAATAATTTTCCAAAATATTTACATTTTATGTTAATGTAACTAGTATTAGATTAATTGTGATGTATTAGATTAATAAATTTATAAATCAGTAAGATTTGTGTAATAATAAATAGCATACAATATTTGTAGAATGATGAACATTCTATACCATATTTGCACTGTTTCCTGAAATGTGTAGGTGGTGTTTTACGTTAATTAATTTGTGACAATTCATAAAATTGGCATCTCTGTAGCAGAATTCATTGAGCATCTGCTAGTCATATGAAAAACAGTGTCTTCAAAATTCTGTACCATATTGGTAACAGCCACAATGGAAATAGTTTTCATCTTTCAATTTAGTTTTCATCATGTCGTCATCAAGCTGCATTAATTGTACCATTCACTAATTATTAATTGTATTAATCATAAAATAAGATATTTTAATAATTAATCTTTATTAATATAGATTACTATTAAGAAACATTAATTTTCAAATAATACAAGTAAAATAATGGTAAATCATACAATTTATTGTATAGAAATATAAATGACTTTTGTAGTTTATATCATGTTATATAACAAAAAGCTTTAAAATAAAATTTTAAATTATTTAATATTTTTCTTTTTCACTTTTAGAATTTTAAGACATATGTCTAAAATAACAATTTATATTGTATATGTAAAAAATAAATACAAAATATATACACTGATTTGTATATACATACAAAATATTTAAAGTTATCTGTAATATTATTATAATAATGAATTGTTTGAAAATATGTAATTGCAATATATTTAATTTTTATCATCTAATACATGTACGAATTTATACTATAATTTATAAGTAATTTTTTCAAATGTGCATCATAAATTATACATATAATACACAAAATAGCATATATAAATAATGCCAATATAATATCCTAAAATTTATATATATATACATATCATGTTATGAATATTATAACTATATATGTTACTTACAAAATGTATATAAATAGTAAAAATTGTAAATGTCTATTTTTTATGAAAAAAAAATAACAGATGTATTTTCAATTTGTTGTTAAATGTAAAGCAATCAGATTTATAGATATGTAAATATTTATTTACATATACAGAAAAATACTTCAAAACTCAGTCTTTTAATCAAAGTATTGTTACATTTTCTAATAATAAATTTTAAATAATTTATTTTATAGATTTACAATGTAATTTTTTTGTAATTAAAAAAGTGATTTTCAGTAAATTAATTTTAACTGTTTCCTTTAACTATCTTACATAAAATGAAATATTTTTTAATCTGTTTTGAAGTTAAAAATAACTTCATGGTTTTTTTCATCATTATTTACACTTGAAATACCTCGGTTCTCCATAATATATTTATAACCTAATTTAATCTTCAATTTTTTTACCTTATATATTTTGTAGGATCAAATTTGTTTTAACGCTTCTTTGGTACTTCACATATAAGATTCTATTAATATCTAATTAATTATAGATATTTTATACAAACGACACTTACAACTGAACATTATATTGTTCAAAATTACCAAAATTTATACTGCTATGCGTAAATTGCACGTGAAATTGAGCCACGAAAACATTTTTAACTGCTAGAAATTCATTTCGTATTTAAATGTTTTTTTAGAAAAAAAGACACACACAATTCCTTCGAAATATGTTTTCAAAATATATGTATCATCTTTTTAAATGAAAGACTGGATATAATACAATATAATACAATCTGGTGGTATAAAATATAATTGAATTACCTTTTAACCTTAAAATACGAATGTGACTAGTGCTGAGTCAATCAGGAATATTTTTTTCAAACCATCGTAAAACACACATCTAAATAAAAAATAAAATGCTTTGTAACATCTGGAACGGTCAATAATTAACATATGCACTTAAAAAAAGTTAATGTTTTATTCAATTTAATTAATTAAACTGTCAACTCGACATTTATATTTATACATGTGTAATCTCACAATACTTTCTACATACGCTTTATAAATGTAAGAACGCGCAAGTCCTCATGTGTAAAAATGCCTAATCATTAATTTCTGTAGGTAGTAAGAACATTTATAGTTTCTTTCATATTAATTAAAATTAATTCCCCTATATAATAATTATCTTATATCGATAATCATCGATATCTTACAGTGATATAATGCTGAATTGTTACTTGTAGAGCGCGATAAATATTAACCAATCAACGTTCCCGTAGATAATTTTCCATATGCATATATATATATATAAGATTTATATATATATATATATAAATCTTATCTTACAATTAATTGCATTTCGTATAATTATTTGATAAGATATGTTTTTTGTTCATTTTTTTCTTCGTATTTTAATTTAATGAAATAAATAACGTAATGTATAAATATGAGTCTGCAAAATAAACTAGACAAAATAAATACGTGGTTCAAGATGTACTTTGCTTATTTCTAAAACTAGTGATTTTTGTTAAACTCATGATAATTAAAGTCTAGAATTAGAGTTAAAATTGCGAATCTTAAGAATTGAATAGTATTTGCAATAAAAGTATCTTGATTCAAGAATGTAATATAGGATAAATTCGGAAATTTTAATTTATAACTAACGAAATATTTTACTTATCGAATATCTTTATGAAAATTCGCAACGATTAAATGCGATTGATATTAGTTATGCATACGATTCCTAGAAATAATTGGATTAAATCATATACTTTTATTTATTACAATACAAATTTTAGAATGTAATTTTAAATCTCACAGGGTTTACATGAACTTTTTTACGAAGATTAATATTTTTGTTAATTTTAGATGCAAAGTATGTTATAATAAACAATACCATTTATTATTCTATATGTAAATAATAATTAAGCAAGAATATTCAATAGGTCAGAATGTTAGTATTGTATTATAATATAATTGTTAATGGCTGCTGTGTGCGGTTCTTGTGTGCCTGTATATAATCGACGTCGGATGATAAACCAAACATTATTAACTGTAATGTTGACAGTGATGTGTCAAAATTTCGTATTTATTTCCAATAACTGATAAATCTATATTCACGAAAATATTACAATAGTGAGGGTTAATTAAGAGATAAAATGCTGCATCTTTCGCTGGCGTAAAACGAAATATGTATGTATTTTCAATATCGATCTCTGTTATAAGAATAAGCAAAGCAGAATTAACATATATTTTATAAAAATATAAAATGAAAAAATGGCAGATATTTTAACTCCATTTGTCTATTGGGCTCAAACAGAGCAACAAATTACTTTAAAGGTAGACTTGACTGATACTTGGGTATGTAACTGCTAATATTATGGGTTTTATTGTTTATGGATTTGTATAGATCAAATTGTATACTTTGTAGCGTGTTAAAGTTTCTATGAATGAGAACAAATTAAAGGTTACTGTTTATGGTCAAGGTGCTAGAGGTCTTAATAAGTATGGATTTAGCTTGGATTTACATTCGTCTATTAATGTTGAGGTAATTCAACTAAATTTTATAATTATGATTTATATATGTAAATGTATATTTGTGGTTTTAATGTACAAATGTGAATAGGTTTACAATTTATATTTATCAATTTATAGTTATTTTTTTTATAGTTGTAAATGATAAGTAAAATGTATATTAACATTTGTATATAACCTATTTTCAGCATGTCTCGATAAATTTTAAGTATTAGTAAGTATTAGATTTTTTAGTCTAAGATTTTTTTTGTGTATAACCTAATAATCTAAAAAATCAATGTGAAATGAAGTTAAAAAGAATGAAAAAATGATTTTATTATGAAGTAAATATATAATAATGCCAAAGCCATATAATTAAATTATTACAGAATTTACTATTGTGCCTACCAGACAGAAAAAATGAATGAATTAAAAAGTACTATATAAATATATTTTATATAATTATAGAAGATATTCTAATAGAAATTGTTTGTTGATTGATTTTAATGTGTTTTTTTTAGTAAATTTTGTATTAAAAGTTTAGATGTTATCAAATTTTCAATTGATTTCATAATAGCACTACATACTGTTTCTTAGGGATAGTATTATATAGAATTAGCTTTTTAATTATTTAGTTTTCTCTAGAATTATACTACTTTTGTTAAAAAGTAATTTATTCATTAACAATAAAATAAAGAGAATGCAGAGAAATTTAAAGAAAAATGAATTATTTTTTATATTCATTGCTTTGAGAATAAAATTTCAAAAACTCTATGCAAAATAAAAGCAAATGTAAAAAAACAACATTTTTCGAATATTTGAAATGATTGCCTGATTTTTGTTGTTGTATTCTAAAAAAGGTATTTTTAAATATTTTATTTTTCATACTGCGTCGTGAGCTAATAGGCCTGAATAGTTTTGCAACTGCAACTCATGTGATATCTAGCATTTTTTAGACAATTTTTTACATAATTGTCAATGAAATATTTGTGAATTAGTGTTCACTAAGTGAAATTAGTTCTCTCGTACTAGAATTCTTATATTTAAATTGAAGCAGTAATTCTGGAGAAAAGAGCTCATACGTGCTGGGTCCACGTTAGCTAGAACTATTTGCAAACTGTCCGTGAACAATTCACAACCTGTTTGTAGGTTGTTCGTGAACAGAAGCAGCACCGTATTCACACTGGACTTTGCTAACAGCTCGTGAGTGGAATACAAGCAAGCCTGTCGCGAATGAGCCCACCTCTGGAGTGATCAGTGTTTGCTGTTCGCTGCTCGCTGCTCACGAACAACAGTATGGGACCCAATATTACAATACTTTATTTGGTTCATCGTATATAATGATGCATTTTCTTTATATCTTAATCTTATCTATACATAATAGAAGCAAAATTAATCATTACAGGAAAGTAATTACAAAGTAACAGCTCGACAAGTTGATTTTACGCTGGGAAAAAAATGCCCTGCTTGGTGGCCAAGATTAACTAGTCAACCACAGAAGCCATCTTGGTTGAAAATTGATTTTGATAAATGGACAAGCGAAGATTTAGATGAAAATGAAGATGAAAGACGAGACGTATGCAGTGATTATCCCGACATGTATGACAAACTTCATAAAGAAGAGTTTGGTTATAGGAAAGGTATATTTTATTTAAAAAATGTGTTTCAATGTAGATAATAATAAATTTTCATTGAAATGTTAATAATATTTTATAATTATTTACTATATAGAGGATTTCAAAAAGGTGTATTTAATTATTTACAATCTTTGCCAATTTGTTGGTTTTATCTATATTCTTACTGTAATGGGAATTATGTATTCACGAGATGGGCCAGGTTAGTAATTGTACTATCTATATATTTAAGATCAATTAAATGTAATAACTCCTAAAATGATTTTAACTATTGAATTTGTAATTGTAGCTTCTATGACAGAAACATACACAGCTGTTGGAAATGCAATAAAGTTTATACAACTTACACAATTTTTAGAAGTTATACATTCATTATTTGGTTACACTAAAAGTAGTACACTTGTAACATTTGTACAAGTAGGAGGCAGAGCTTTTATTTTATTTACTATGATTGAGCCTGAACCACGAATACAAACAAAACCGGTTATTTTTTATCTGTTTCTTGTGTGGAGTACGGTAGAAATATTTAGATATCCTTATTATATTACACAATTATTTAAGATAGAAATTTCATTTTTGACGTGGCTAAGATATACAATATGGATGCCCTTATATCCATTAGGTTTTCTTTGTGAAGGAATTATAATATTAAAAAATATTCCACATTTTGAGGAAACACAAAAATTTACTATTTCTTTACCAAATTCTTGGAATTTTGCATTTCATTTTCCATCATTTTTAAAGATATATTTATTGATATTTTGTTTACCCTTTATGTACATGCTGATGTCTCGTATGAATCAGGCACGTTATAAAAAATTAGGCAAATCTAAACTAAGAAAAAAGTATGCATGATGTAATACATGACAAGATCAAGAAATTAAAATACTAGAAAATTTAATTGATGGTTCAATTATTGAAGGTATAATTTATCCTAGAATTAAAATGAAATGAATAAAAAAAAGTGAACCTTTATTGTAAATATATTTATTTTAAACATATGATTATTATATTGAAGAGATTTTAAATATGCAATGTTTAAAAAACATTTTAATCTCTCTATATTTATAAACATCTACAATATAAGTAGATTAATTGTACGTATACATATGATTTTATAATATAAATAAATGAATTATTACTAAACAAGGTTATTTTTACCACCTAATATGTACTGATGAACATTGTAAGTTAAGTTTTGCCTGGAATAAGAACCAGAGTTTGGGAAAATCAAGTTTATATTAAAATCATTAGTGAAAAAAAAATATTTTCTGTAATTTTATCATATTTGTCATATTTGTTTTATTTCGATATAATTCTTTTATATAAACTTATGTTTTAATATTTGTAATCTTATATGAAAGATAATATGAATGGATACTACAAATCTCTTCAATTCATAAATTAAAGTAATACACACATGTATACAATGTATATAATTATTATATTCATGTATCAATATATGTATAATATAAATAAGTGAATCTATATTAATTTTCTTTTTTTAATTTTCGATATATGTTTAGACATCTCAATATTCAAATAAAATCACGATTTAATTCATTGATTATTCTCCAAAACCGAATCTTACATCCGGTTAATAAAATCTTGTTTACTGTGTGGTGAGAAGTAACACGTGGAGTAGTTGTGTATTTTAATTTATGAAAGGAATAAGTGATACTACTTTTTTTACTTTTTAATAATATGGACATGTTTGAATTAACTATTTGGAAAGGTGATTGGGGTTTACCATCAGTTGACACGGAATGTTTACAGGTTTTGGTATGTAATTTATTTATAGGTTATAATGCACTCAATGTCACAAACTTTATAGGCTGCTAAATATTTTAATTATTTTTATATTTCATCAAAAAATGAACAATAATTTCAGTATTTTAACAAACAATATGTTGTTTTTTGATTTTTTAAGGCGAATGATGACAAAACCATATTAGTGTCTTGATTTTTAAATAATTTTTATACCTAATATAACTTTTAATCAGTCATTTTGTTATATTTTTGATGATAAAAATTTCTTATTTAGAACAAATATAACCTTATTTAGAACAAATATTATTTTTAAAATATTAAAAATATTTTAAATATTAAAGATATTTTTAAAATATTAATTTAAAACATATACCTAGTAAGTAGATGATAAAAATTTCATTGCTCTAAAGTACAGATTCCGTAATGATAATAGAAATTTTTTATTGAAAAATATAAATTACTAGTGTATTAATTGCTTGTTTATTAATTATACACATTCAATCAAATGTGAATTATAACGTATAATGGTATTTTACTTAAACATATACGTTGAGAAGATAATTTGTTGATAGAATTATAGATCAAAATATTTATCTTAATATTCTGAAGCAAAATTTAAATTGTAACATTAGAAAATTTTTAATATTGATCAAAATAAGAATTTAGCATATAACAAAAGAAACAAAAGATCATCATGTAACTTTATAAGTTCTTGTAACTTCTAATCCACTTACAAATAAAATGATAAATTAAAAAAATAAATTTGAATAATAATAAGTGTGAAATTTAAAGTATTATTCGAATGTGATCCATAACTTTTGTCATATTATCATTTTTTCTTTAGCTAGATTATTTATAAGTAAATACAAGTACTTTTTTAGTTTTGTAAATATCAATTAGCTACCATCTTCATTTAAATGATATAGTTAATTATAAAGTTGATTTAAATACATTAAAATAAATAAATGTGATGAATGGGGATTTTTTTACTAATGTGAAAGTAGTAAAAATTATAGAAATTATAAGAGTCGAATGTGTATGGTAAAGAGAATATGTGTATAGTAAAAGAGATAATAGTAGAAATTATAAAGTTGATTTAAATACATTAAAATAAATAAATGTAATGTATGGAGAGTTTTTTACTAATGTGGAATGTTTTTACTACTGTTTTGTAGAAATTATTTATGTACACATCTTGTTAGTGATTTATATCATTTTCTTTAAAAACTGCCAAGCGTAAAAAACATTTCTATTTTATCACTGAAATCATATCAATGTTAATTTGTTAGTTTCTTTTTTAATTATTAGATCCTTTAATTATTAGATCCTGTATTTCCATTAACTTCTCAAATGTCATCTATGCTATTCTCTAATTTTGTACCGGTTCTTTGATTTCATGTGTGGCACTTTTCCTCGATTTCAAATCGCTTTTGTCATGTAGATTTTGCGACTTTTCGTTTTCGCATCTCCAAATTCGTTAATATTTATTTTACAGAACCGAATGTTTTGATGTTAAAAAGACGTTATTGTAAATGAACAAACGTCAATGATTATTTGAGTGAAAAAGCAAAATTATCAACATTTATTTTTTTTAGGTTTATGCCAAATTTAATGGTATACCTTTGAAAGTCAATGCAGTTGGTAATCCATTCAACAGCAACTTACCCGTATTAAAATATAATAATTATACGTTTACTAAAGTCAAGGATATAATAGAAATTTTTAGAGAAAATAATTATAATACAGAACAAGACTTAAGTCGAAAAGAATGTGCGAAGATTATGGCGTACGATGTTATGTTGAAAGAAAAATTATTCCCAGCATTACAGTTTATTTGGTACGTACATTTCAAACGGCTTTAAAATGTATTTGACTTAGAGAATAGGGTGAAAATTTTTCACATCGATTCACTATTAGATTTCAAATCGTTATTTCTAGTATTTTCTAGTATAAATATGTTGGCATGTCGTATAATACAGAAATAAATATGATAAATAAATGAATATTTTTAGGTGGCTAGATGAGAAAAACGTGAATGAATTAATAAGACCTTGGTATTGTAAAGCAATGCCATTTCCATTTAATTTTTATTATCCAGCAAAATTCGAACGGCAAGCTCGTGTTATATTTGAAACTTTGTACCCTGTAGAAGATGATATATCTGTTATAGAAAATAAGGTAATTGCATAACTTGAATAAACTAATTTTACGAATGAGAACAATGACATTCAATCATAAATCTGAAAATACTACCGAGAAAGATAGAATCTATAAGCTATATAGAACTTTAATTTCTATTGAATAATTTTACAAGGCCAGAATTATCTGACCAATTATCCGATTATCGATTTTAATGGTTTTTTATAAGATGATAATATATACATAGTTCGTAATAACAACATGTGAAATATTAAATATTAAATCTAAGTACTCGATAATTTTGAAGGTATTTTTCAATAAATATTACTATGAATATAAGTTAAGGCGTTGCGAAATACAATAATTAGAAATTAGACGTGAAAATAGTTTGAAAACATGTATTTTTTTTTTTAAAGTATAAATTATTAGTGTTGTTTATAACGATAGTTTCTCAACTAATTAACACTAAACGTACCGGCATTTTACATATATCTATCTTACCAGGAGTCATTTGACTCCTTATGAATAAACGTTGATTTTTAGAAAGAAATTCTTAATAAGGATCTTATGAATAAACGTTGATTTTTAGAAAGAAATTCTTAATTTATCAAAGGAATAATTTGTGCAACATAACTTCTGATTTCTAATAAAATACTCAAACATATATTTTTATTCAAAGTAAATTTTGGCTTCTGATTTCTAATAAAATACTTAAAAATGTATTTTTATTTAAAATAAAGTTTGAAAAGGGGTCATTTGACTCCGCTTGGTACGTTTAGTGTTAAATGTTTAGAGAAGAATTTGATTTCATATCTTTTTTGTCGACGGTCATCCACATCTAAGGAGAGTGAGATTTTCTGAAACATCTCGGAGGAACCGCGTCTAAGAACAAAATTCGTCTTCATCAACGACGAACATGGCCATATAAACAGATTCTTAAGAAACCAAATTTTTAAATTTGGGGTATCTATATTTTTTATTTTATGTTCTTGTAGCTGGCATCGAAACATTTTCAAAATGTTGTGTCTTTTGCATAAGCAAATTTCGAGATATGATTCTACAAAAGTTGAAATACTGCTGACATCAGCATTACTCGACACACATACAATGTGCATCGTGGGAAGGTTGTTCGGTCAAATTTTGTAAGTACGTATATTATACTAGCACTAAAAAAAGAAAAAAAAAGAAAAAGAAACCGATTGTATTTAATCCTGTATTTTGAAAATTACCGGTGGAACTATGTAACTGCTTCTTAATTAATATAATTTTGAAAATGCTAATATAATTCATCACGAAGTAAAGCATTAGTTTTCAAGACTTTTCTGGGTAATTCATACTTAGATATACCTCGAACATGTATTTTCGAATTTCGTATCTTCAACGATCGAGAATGGTCGAAGAACTGTAAATACAAAATTAACTCATCGACCTTTTCTTTCCTAGCATTATTTACACAAGTAAAACAAAACAAATAAGCGTATATTTTGTTGTTTCTGTTGCAAATAATAACTTGCTACCGCTTCTTTAAAACGTTATGAACTTTTATGTATTTAATCATATCTGTTGTATATTTGCTAAATTTCAATCATTTAACAATCTTTATTGTTTTGTTATTATGATACTAATGATTTTAATTTATCTTCAAAATTATCAAATGTCTATATCTAATTGTCTGTTTCATACAGGATAGATTATTAAGAACTTATATGTCATCTTACAAAAAGCCGTTGAAATTGAAAGCTGATATTTAAATTACATTCCGTGTAGTTTAAATTCTGTTATGTCCTGTGTAGTTGTATCTAAATATAGCGAGATTGAAAGTTAAATTAGTCGAAAAATTATACTTTCTGTCTGCCACTTCTTTCTTTTAATTCTTTTTTCCAACTCTTTTATTTTATTTTTTTGATCTTGTTCTTTGGATTTTATTCGCCTAAGACTTCTAATTTTTTTTTTTCTTTCCATATTTATTAACTTTCCAAAATTTCTTAAAAACTTCAAAAAAAAAAAAAAAAAAAA